TACAGTGCATGCAGTATTCGAGCTGTCAATATTCAACCATTCAAAAGGAGAGTATTGTGGATGCAAAGGTATCTAGACTCATGAATGTGTTTCTTCAAATACATCCATCCAATTTCCCCGCCAAAAAGAGTGCATCCATCCTATTAGCTGGGAGTCCATACTCCATACACAGTCTTGTGTGCATCACAAGTTTGAGCTATAGATTCCATCATTACAAATCAATACCTACAAGTTTCGTAACATTATCAATTGCTTTTCCCATTAACAAGTCACTTCATATTTTCTTTGCTGTTAAGTTTGTCCGTCGACGTTCTGTACTGTGCGTCACACACTCGAGATTCTTCTGATTGGAACAACGTTCCAAAGTACATATGCATGTTCTCTTTTACTTTGATGACCTCTCGTTAAATGCTAACCAGGGGGAAAGCTGATTAAATGTTTTTTTCCGCGGAAATGTTGATTATATGTTATTTGGGATATTTTCATCTTACATACAAGTTTTTGTTTCTCTAATTTTCTAACTTTTACCTAAACACTGCTAGCTACAACGCTTCTTAGTTTTCTAATTTTCTATAAGTTCTAACCTTTACCTAAATACAGCTAGCTACAACTTTGATGTCAAGAATACCTACTCGAAGCCGCATTGCTTGATTCCTCTTCAGGAGCTACTGAAATCATCTGCTTTTCTAATTGATGATAGCTGTGTCTTTGGTGTGGAGATATTAAAAATCGATGTCTCTTCTCCTGAAAAGAAGGATGTTGTGGTTCAGAAGAAGGCTACCACAGTTCAGAATCTCTTTATCCAGAAGAAAGGGTTCATTAAAGGGACATACACTTGGACCATGGATAATTTCCTTGAATTGGACTTGAAGCACTTTGTCCGTTCTCCTACATTTGAAGTTGGCGGACTTAAATGGTATACATCTGGGTAGTTACATCACAAATGATTTATATAAATAGCATGCATGTGTCATCCAACATTTTAGCTTATATGTATCCTTTAGCTTATCAGTCCTTCAGATATTCCAACCGGATATTTTAGCTTGATCTCTAAGGATGCAACCAAGATATTTACAGATATGGTAGCACATCCCAGTTTCAATCTTTCAATACAGAAGGGTTTTTGCACGGCGTATAGAAAATTCAAGAACGAATTAGAAACAATGTAGTACTAAAATCTATGTTGGCGTATAAAATTTCATGGCCGAATGTATATATGTTGTTTAGGAGGAAAAAAATCCAGAAATTTGATTATCATGTATATATTTGGCACAACCGGTTCTTGTATGTGTCACATACCATATCGATTATTTTCTCAAATTGTTACCGTACTGTAGTCATGCTTTGCTTAGTTTCTTTGTACAATTGTAATGCCACCAAGTTGTGGTCAAAGTTTCTGCTTTCAGTAACCAACCACATTCTTGAAATACATTTTCCCGGGTACCCAATTAGTATATTTGAAGAGTCACTTCCCATTCTTGTCAACAGGTACGTCCGTATGTATCCACGTGGTGACAAGTACAGCAATGATTGCCTCAGCTTGTACTTATCCCTGGATGACTCGGTTGAGCTCCCTTTGGAGTCTGGGAAGGTGGTTGAATTGACACTATCCATCCTGGACCAAAAGAATGTGAAACACCGGACTGAAACTTCAGGTTCAGCTCTGCTTAGCAAGTATCAGTGCTACTGATATGTGTGATTCAAGCAGCTAGTATCTGTAACCTCATGATGATTACAATTGATTTTTACTTTTGTGGTGAATCGCAGGTCTCTGGGTATGTGGACAGGGACATACATTGGTATGTGTACAGGGAATGGGATCGTCTAACTTCATTGGACTCAAGGAACTCAAGGACCCGTCTGGAGGCTATGTTGTGGGATCGAGCTGCGTTGTGAAGGCAGATCTCACCATCGTCGGTTCATCCAATGATGGCTAGATCTTTACCTCATGGCCTGAAGAAGAAATAATGCGCCTTCATCCTAGCAGTTAGAGTTGTATATATGAGATGGTGTTGTGAACTTGTCTGATGTTCTTATGTTCATAATAATGTCCAGAAATGATTTCTAGGTATATTGTCTGTGATATTATATTATTTGGAAATACTTAAATGTTTGTCAGTTGATGAGTTCCGTTTGCATGTTGTGTGGTTCCATGATCCTATTTTCATGGCCTCATGCATTCAAACATCGGCCCACAAGAGGTTAACTGCCATTTGATGCTGCTTCCTTTCGATCCAATGGACCAAAAAAATTGAACTCGAAGTTTAGTTGGCAGGAAGTGCTGCATGGACATTTGCACTTAATATGAAACATGGAGCCATGACAGGACTAGGCAGAATACATATTAAGAAATGATCTCTTCGTAACAATATCTCTCATCATATTTTTCATCTGTAGATAAGAATAAGAGATAACCATTGTACATCACTAGCAGGTAGTGCATGGTGGCACGCCACACTATGTTGATTGGTTCAAGAATTGTTTATGCGATTCTAAAAAAAGAGATAATTTTTTATGCTGAGCTTTTGAGAATTCATTGTGCATGCCGCACGGATGCAAAAAAAAAACACAGATAAGCTAGTTGTTTATTTAGAAATTTTACATAATGCAAAAACATGAAGGGGTACGATTACTCGGTCGTGGATTAAATCATGGTTCATGTATAGTCTCTAATATTTTATCTGAACTTCTATTTTAGTTTTTCTGGTCGTTTTATTTTGAGGTTTTGTTGCGCAAATTAGTCAGATGGAGGTATGGGAGCGGTCTTGAATAAGCTTGACATTTCCCCACGTTCATAACTCACGAACCTAGCTACAGTAGCATCACTTTACAAGTTACGACAACATGCCATGATTTTAAGTATCGACTAACATTGTAAGGTACACACGAAATTTACAACCCCTTTGACAAAAACAATGGCACACTACTATGCCATTGACTGAACATGTCCTAGCAGTCAGGTGGGGCCTTTTGTCATACAAATCCATACTATACCATTGACTAAACATTTCCTAGAAGTCAAGATGCAGGCGAGGTGTGATGCAGCTGCACGCCAAACACATAAGCGGGCGCCAGCAACTCCCGGCCCGCCCACATGAGTCCGCCACAAACCCAAAACCAACTGAGTTTCACTGATTGCAACAACAAAGCATACAACAAACAACACTTTAGATGGTGCATAGCAAAATATACATTCCTTCAGATAAACCTAATAGTAAACATCAACATAACATGAGGATATAGCATAATCCATTCCTTCTTCCAACAGCAAAATGCAGTTTCATGGTAACACTGCTCCCATTGATCAAAATACAGTTTAGATGAGCCCTTACTATTGACAACAACACATATATGAGGTATTCAACAAGTTCACATAATGCTGCTCAATTTTTTTTTAGTTTTTTTTAGAAAAGGAGGAGGACCCCTGGCCCCTGCTCAATACAAGTGTTAGCAATGAGAAAGAAAAAAAAGGGTTTTGTCCGATGTGCTAGATACCATACTTCAACTCGTAAGAAAGCAATTAAGGAGAAACCAAAAGATGAAGACTTCGACTCTGACTCTGAGGAAGACGAGCACCTCCGCCACGCTGCCACCAATAACTGCGGCCACAACTATGATCTAAGGATTGACCCCCCTCCGCTTTAGGCGTTATATGGACTCTACATGTTTCGTTGTAATTCGCCTTTTTATTTTTATTTTGTGTGAGAGGATCTTATTTGGCTGTGTGCATCTTAGTTATGTAGAGGCCGGGTATAATGTTTAATTTTTTTTAAGTAATAAAGCGCCCCTTTTCGAAACTATGATGACGACAACGACGGGGAGGAGCAGCAGGATGCGGCCGTACGGGCGGAGGAAGATCGCCACGTTGAAGATGACGACCATGAAGCTGAGGAGTTGGAGGCCTTCACCAACGAGACTAATGAGGAGCCACAGATCGTTGGGGAGGTCCTTCACATCAAGGAGCTCCTCCTGCACAAGCAAGATAATGTATGTAGTTTTATCTGTGCACTTCTTTCATTGCTGAAGTTGTTATTTGTCAACTCCAGGTAGCACTTAACATTGATCTGAACTAAAACACAAATGGTGTCTTGCAGTCAGATGCTACTCGGTTCGATTCGCCGAGGAGGCTACAGTTGATGCAATTGTCCATCTCCACGGTTAGGGTACCTATTTCATAGTGCATATGAGATAGAGATATCTTGTGTGTTGGTTTTATTGCTATGTTGGTTTGCATAGTGCTCCCCCGAGATTCGATGCGGG